CGGGGCTTTTTCACTGCCCTCTTGCCCTCTCCAGGGCGCTTGTGTTGCACTGTGTTTTATTTTTCATCATTGGGGGCTTTAGTGAACGTAAAGTTCCTTTCCCCGTGAATGCTCCCAAGAAAAATGGGCAGCCAAAACAAGCTGCCAAAGGTCTGCTAGGTGCAACTGCCGTGAGCATTTGGAATTACTGGAGTGCCAGTTAATCCAAGGCAGCTCGAACTGGAAATACTGCGCTCAGGGTAAATTTAGCATCTATTATATCCACTAGTAAAACCAGCAGCAGCTGAAAACACCAAAGAGGGAAACTTAAACTCCAGAAATCAAGGAATCTCATTCAAGCAGAGTGTCCTCTGTGAAAATCAGGGGGGTAAAAACTAGAAAGAATAAAACTGAGATCTCAGGGCAGAAGCAATACTTATTTACAGGCTGAATAAGAGATATGCTGCACACTGGTGAAGGGAGAGCTTTTTTACACTTGCTTGATTTTTTTAAAACAGAATTACAAGAGATAATCAGATGGCTATCCCCTCAAGGAGAAGAAAAGATGAGAAGTTTAACACCTAGAGAGCCTCCAAAACTGGCTGTAACGGGGCTGCCAGGACTTAATATTGACCCAGGATTCAGATTCTTCAAATTTTCTACCAGGCTTGCTTATTTTCTCATTAGCAGTTGTTAATAATTCAATCAAGCTTATTCAAAACTGAACCATGGGATTTCCCTCCATGCTAACCTCCCAAAGTGGTACACTTGGTCTGGCACAGCATTTTTCCTCCTACCCTGCGACTCACAGGCTCACGTTTATTTTTCTGATGGAATTCTTTTCCCTAACAAACCTGGTTTCTATATTTAACCTGACTTTCAACAGCATCACCAGAGATATTGTTTTTGTACTGAATGTTTGTAACTTTTTGGCGTATCCTAATCTCTTGGCATGCCCCTCTGCTTCTAAATGGTGCTAATATAAATCATTCTGTAGCCTTTTTCATCCAAAGGGCTTTATGACTTGATCTGAAACAATCCAGTTACTCAAACTGCCCAGTGCTGTTTTAGTGCTAGGCAGCCGAGAAGGAAACTCCAAACCTGCCCAGGGGACCGCATTCACCCTCATCTTTTTTCCCTAGCTTTGTCACTGATATTTATGAATTTAGCAAATTCATAAAAGCAAAAACTGTGTTTGTCAGCCCAAACAAGGACAGCACAACAACAGGACAGCACAAGGGACATGTTTCACCCTTTCTAAGGGGAACAGCACTGTGTTCTGGAAGACTGAGCTTGTAGGTGACTGTTCTGGGACAGGATTTCCCGAAATGTAGGATGAATGACTCAAGAGACCTATTTACCCTATATGATCCCCTTTAGGGCCAAACTTCTCTAGGATTTTGCACTTGATTCTTGAAATGCCGTAGAAATAATCATGACAGTGTAAATTCTTCTGCTGTAAACAGGAATCCAACAAAGAGAAGCCACCAAATTAGTAGAACCTACTGCTAATAGCATCCAAATTCCAACACTCCTTAAAGCTCACCCTGCACAAAAGAGTTGTTAATGATTTTTGTAATAACTTATCTGCTGTTTTAATTCAGCAATTTAAAAAAAAAAAGCCTTCTGGCTTGCATATCCCAGGTATGCCCAATATTGTAAAGGAAAGTATGGGTGTGCTTTAAGATAGTGGCATTTATTCTGTTTGCTGCAACAGAAGCACCCTAAACTATGGCAATATCCCAGTCAGCAGAGTCCCATACCCCCTATACCAAGAGTTTGCTCTTCTGAGGAGAAATATCTTTGTTGTTACCTTCCTTTGAGAGAAAAAAAATATTTTGCTAAGATGCATTAAGTGAAGCCCCTGATGTTTTTTTGCTCACTTGCTGAGAATCCAAGAAACCTTATTACTGCCAAGGGGGTGCATCACAGCTACAAACTGCAAATTTATACAAATGGCTGAATAATTCCAGACAGATTTCTAAAAGTACCTCTTTTCTAATGCTCTGTGGAGCGCTTCCTATCGTTCTTATAGAATATTTCAGAGGAATGGTTCTGAAGAAGAGTGAAAAGGGGTGAAGAAGTGAAAATGAAGGCAGAATCCTATATAGAAATTAAGACATCTTCACACCTCGAGAAAGTTAATGTTTCTACCTATAGGGGAAAATGTATTTCTCCAGCGTGAGGTCTTCTTTCTGATTCAGTGTTTATGGCATAATTTAGAATAGGATGAAAAACTCTGAGATTCTGTAATGTGATGGATGGTTTTCATAGACGAGCTGAGTTTTGATTCTCAATAACAGCGAGCTGGAAGGAGAATTATGATCAAAATCTTCTCAGGAGGTCTAAGGGACTGATTTGTTTCCAAGCAAAGTGCTCCTAGGGGTTGCTGAAGCAAAAAGGACCAGGTTGGGTGTCCTGCCAGCATTCCATTCCCCTGGTGCTGTTTTCTTAATAAAAATAATAGAAAGTGGATCCATAATCAGCCCTTTGTTGTATGTTGACTAGTTGGGGCTCATCTTTCCCTTTAAGCCAGGAAGCAGTTACTGATGCCAGCTGAGCATTAATAAAGGTCCAAGCCATCACCAGTGGTGATGCTTTCACCATTAATTTGTCATTAGACACCAGAAATGTTCGCCGTGTGACAAGACCACCACCTGCTTTTTGGGGGCAGATGGATCTTTTTTAAGACTGCGGCGATC